GGCCCCTTTACAGCGCCAGGCCCGCGTTCACTGCCCTCTCCCCGCATCGGGGGCGGGAGCAGCCGGCGGTGCCTGGAAGATTCTATCCTAACGCTCCGCCTGCAGCTCACAGAGCTCAGAGTTCACTTCTGAGTTTCCACGAAACCACAGGCAGCAGTGGCACCAACTTCCCGACCGGCACGCGGAGCCCTCACGCCCCAGTGGCGTTCATGACCTGCTTCAAACCCTCGATGCCACTTCTGCGCGAGGGACATACCGGGAGGTGGGACGTGCCGGGAGGTGGGACCTATCGGGAGGTGGGACGTGCCGGGAGGTGGGACGTGCCGGGAGGTGGGACATACTGAATGACTAAGTGCTCACAGTTCTGATGAATAAGCAGCTATTGTGTCTTCTGCTCCAGAAGTCTCAGGATGGCCCAGCAGTGCGGCTCAGTGGTTGAGCGTGGACCTATGAGCCAGGAGGTCACGGTTTGATTCCTGGTCAAGGGCACAGGCCTGGGTTGGGAACTTGATCCCCAGTAGGGAGTGTGCAGGAGGCAGCCGATCAGTGATTCTCTCTCATCACTGACGTTTCTCTCTCCCTCCCTCTCTCTTCCTCTCTGAAATCAATACAAATATATTTTTAAAAAAGGTTCAGATGGATTGTCCAAACCAGTGACTTATTTATTTTAGATCCTCACCCGAGGATATGTTTGCTGACAGAGAGAGAGAGAGAGTTAGAGAGAGAGAGAGAGAGAAACACCGATCAGTTGCCTCCTGGATGTGCCCCGACAGGAGATCAAACCTGCAGCCTTGGTTCTGGTGCCGGGACGACGCTGCAACCCCACAGCCGGCCGGGCCGGCCAGCTATTTGCAGACACTGTCCTGCTTCAGCTTTGTGCCGGACGCCAGTCAGGATTCCCGGCCCGTGACTGAGAGTGACAGCCTCGGGGATTGCAGGAGACGATGCCCACGTGGCAGTTCCGTGTGCCCACGGCTTTCGAAGGGCTTGCTGGGTATCAACTCACTCAGCCCCGTGGGGCCAGCTGCCCGGGAGAGACGCCAACCTGGATTCCAGGATGCGAACCTGAACATCGAGCCGAGGATGGAGCTGCCTCCCGGGCCCACACAGCCGTCCTCCCACCACCTGGCCTCGCCTGGCTCGTTCTCCTCACTGTCCGAGTACTGGGTACCCCGAGCGCACAGGGCTGAGGGAGCAGGGCAAGGCACTGTCGGAAGATCAGGCCTGTCTTGCCCGGCCAGCGTGGCTCGGTGGTTGAGCATCAACCTAGGAAACAGGAGGTCACGAGAAGGTGCTGAGGCCACGGAAGCCTCAGTTTCCCAAGTTGAGATGGTCCCCAAACATTGGGGGGCCCTGGAGGGGTGGCGGGCAGGTCTGCAGGGCCAGCACAGCCCGAGGCGCTCGGACGCAGGCCACCTGCTCCCCAGGCTGCATGTTCTTGAGGGCGGCGCGGGTCCACACTCATCTTTACGGAGCCGCACGGGACGTGGCCAGGGCTCGGTCGGTGTCAGGGGATCGCGATCTCCGGACGGATGCCCTGCAGTCCCCTGCAGTCCCCACCGGCTGTCCACAGGCGTCAGACCCCAGCCCCCTCCTGGCCCCTCTCTCTCTGTTCCTGCCTCCTGGCCCCGCTGGGAA